TGGTACACAAAAAGCCAAAACTGTTTCAAAAACTGATACATTTGACTACTTTAAAATGGACATTAATGTTCCTCAAAAAACACCAATAAGAAAGTAAAAAAAGGAAAAGACAGAGTGTGAGAAGATGTTATTGCAGAAATCAACTAAGAACTCATATCCAGAATATCTAAAGAACAATCTAAAATCATTTTTAAAAATAAGCAAGAAACTTGAGTGGGCATTTTATAGTAGAGGATATCCAGAAGGCCAATAAATGTATGAAAAGATGCTCAGCCTTTTTAGTGATCAGGGAGCTACAAATTATAACCACAAAGAATTGCTCTCACCTACCAGGATGATTAATATGTTGGTGACAATATGGAACAATAGGAAATATACTATCAGTGACACACTCACTTAGGAAAATAGTTTGGCCTAATCAAACATACCAGGTTGTGCCAAAATAGTACATATATGTGCACTAAGAGATAAGAATGTCCCTAATAGCATAATCCATGATTGCTAAAAATAAACCTGGATGTCCATTTATAGGAAACTGACTGGATAAATAAAATGGCATGTTAATACAATGATTTGAATTCTGTTCAGCAATGAAAATGAATGAACTACAGTTACAAATAACAAGGATAAGTCACATAAACATAATTTTAAGTGAAAGAACTCAGTCACAAAATAATACATATTATATAATTTTCTTTATATTAAGATTTAAAAAAAACAGGCAAAACAGAACTGTTTAGGGATGCCTGCTTTGTGGTAAAACTAAAGAAAACCGTAATCTTAAGATAGTGGCTTCTTGGGTGGGGGAAGGATAGGGTATTGATTGGGAGGGCGCTTTCTAGGTTCTGTCAATGTTGTTTCTTGACCTGGATGGTGGTTACCTGAGTGTTCACTTTATGAAAATTTTTTGAACTGTACATTTGGGGGCGCGGTTTGGTCATTTTCTCTGTGTGTTAGAATTCAAAGTAAAAAAAAAATCATTTAAAAGAATACCAGTAGGACTAATATTAATAAAGAATTAGTGTGTACCTTCCTATGGGTAAAGGAAAAAAGAAGTGATATTCTGGTTGTGGTAATTTTCAAAGGGTTTTCCCTGGCCTGGTAAAAATAGAGGGTATAGCCATTCAGCTCATCACAAACACTCTGAAGCAGCGGTCACCAACCTTTCAGACCTCATGGACCACCAGTGGTCTTCGGAGCCCTGGGTGGCAACTACTGCTCTGAAGGATGAGTCCCCAACCCCCTTGCTATGGCCTTGCCTGTGGCCCTGCTCAGAACTTTATATTTTATTCTAAGTGTGATGGGAAGTCTCTGGAAGTTTGAGAATAGAGGAGTGATATGGTTTGATTTTTATTAACTATATTGTGGATGTGTTGTTGTTGTTGTTGTTTTTAATTTTATAGGGGTATCCAATCAAAAACGTTTGGAAACCATTAGATTAGGGAATGCAGAAATTATCTTACTAAGAGGAAACCCAGTGTCTTTCTGCAGCAAATGAGAAATGATTACACAAGTCCCTGGTCTAAATGAGAAGATGGGTGCGAAAGGTGTGATATGGGAAGATTTTAGTCAGGAATAAGCATGTCTGTTTTTAAGCTTGTTCCACCTGGAATTTGTGGCTTAAAGATTATGTGATCACTCTCAGCGAGTTGATTTGGGAGAAGTCTTGTCTACATGATAGTTTCTCAGAATCACTTTTAACTCTACGATTCCTCCCTTCTTAAATTTTCTTTTAAAATTATGTATGTAAATGGATTCGTTTAAAGAACTAAACTCTGCACAGGCATCATAGTGCCCACGAACTTGAACCTAATGTCAGCCAGGAGGTTTTACACTGGCAGCCTATGGCAGAATGTGGCGACCTACGTGCTTTGTTGGTGTGCATGGTGCTTGAGAGAGTTTAGGTCAGTGTTTTCAAGCCAGGGCTTTATACAGTACTCCAGATTGCTATCTTCTCATGCAAAATTGGAGGATCTAGCAGCATTGGGCCTACATTCCCACGAGGCAACTATCAACTGCAGTTGAGTTGGGGCAGCCTTTAGATGAGCCACGTCCTTTCCCAGCCACCAGAGTCCCTCCCATACTGTTCGTTTATATTATACTTTATGTAATAGATTTACATAATAAACCTAATCCCTGTAGGTATTTTCTTGGGGCATCTAGATAATTCATGTACTTTCATAATATCTTTTTTTCTTCTTCACTTTTCTAGGAATCCCCCTACCCAGAAGACAAAGGCCGCCAATTTGTCTTCTCTTATTTTCTAGCCACTGACATGATCAGTATCTTTGAGCCTCCTGTTCGCAATTCTGGTATCATTGGGGGCAAGTACCTTGGCAGAACAAAAGTTGCCAAACCACACTCTCCGCCAGGAAACCCCATCTACTATGGCCCTAGTGACTTCTTCATTGGCGCCGTGATTGATGGTAGGTCTAAACCCAGGTCAGGCTTTCTGACTAGGCAAGTGAATTAAATTTAAGTAACCCTTGTAAGAGACAAGTGGGCTGCATTCCAGCAGAGACAAAGCTAATATCCTTACATATGTGGTCCAATGTCTTAATCTCCTTCCTTCCCAATTAAACTGTGAATTGGTTGCATTTGGGGGAGCGGGGGTATAAATATAGATCCTGAGCTTCCTAACGCTGAACAAATGACTGCATATAAGTGTCGAGAGCTTTGAAAGTTCACTGTGCATGCATGTGCATGTCTGTGAATTTGTCATTGGAGGGTCAGTATTTACTCCTGATTGCATGATAAAAGCATAACCAAGGTGAGTGTATCTCTGCCTTCTCCCCAGTGTTTGGCCACCGGTTCATCATCCTGGACATAGACGACTATGCCTTGAGATATATGGAAAGTAATGCTGCCCAGTATTCACCAGAGGCACTCTTGTCGATTCAGAACCATGTTCAAAAGCAAGAAGCTTCTGCACCAAAGTTGGAAAAGTATGTTTGATTGTCTAGGGAGCATTTTGGCTCTGGCACATGTGAGATATTCA